ACCCAGCGCAGGGCGCAGCTGAGTGGTGGGGCTGGTGGGAAACGTATCCAAGGAAAGGCAAATACCTCATGTAAGTGTGAAGAAAAAAAGTTTGAGCAACAGCGCTGTAAGCAAAGGTGGGGGGGGGAAAAGGGGGCTCAAGGCACCAGAGCAGGGATCCCCCTGAAGCCTGTGGAGCAGGCTGTGGGGAAGCAGGTGTTTCCCTGCAGCCCAGGAGGAGCACGCCAGAGAGGATATCCACACTGCAGTTTGTGAAGGACACCACGCAGGAGCAGGTGGGTATTCCTTGAACGAACTGTGGCGTGTGGAGAAGCCCACGTTGGAGTGGTCTTACCCGGAAGCCCTGCAGCCTGTGGGAGGGTGCACAGTGGAGCAGAGGTAAAATGTGAGGAGGAAGAAGTAGCAGAGAGGAACTGCAGTGTTCTGACAGCAGCCCTCATTCCCCATCCTCCCTGTGCCAGTCGAGGAGGGAGAAGGAATAGGAGCTGAGAATGCGGGAGTGAAGTTGAGACTGGAAGAGGGAGGAGGGAGAAGTTCTTTTGGGTTTTGTCTTTGTTCATCACCATCCATATCAATTTTAATTGGCAATAAATTATTTTTTCCAAGTCGAGTCTGTTTTGCCTGTTACAGTAATTGATGAGTGATCTCCCTGTCCTGATCTTGATGAATGTGCTTTTTTATGTGATCTCTTCCATCCCTCTTCCTTTTATAGCAGCTGGCTGAGATTCTGGCAGCTGGCCAAGGTCGACAAATGCTACAACACTTACCAACATCAGCAGGCAGGACTGGATTCCATTTTGTCTCTGTTCATAGAAGAATTTTTTCCTGAAGATACTGTGTCCATGGGTGTTAACTGCATTCTCACTGTAGAAAAGAGAAACCTAGAAAGAAGTCTTCTATTGAAAACTTACTGGTTGTTGTAATTTAATAAATGTATTATTTTTAGGTCTTTTGAAAATATATCTGGCCTCAGAGAAAGTACTGTAACTTTGGGAAGAGTATGCTGTGTTTTTCGTATAAATCAAAAACTCTTAATAACTTCATTAATTATGGAGCCAGCACCATGAGCATTGCAATTAAAAATCGATAAGATGCGAGTCAGGAAACCTAAAAAGGGAAAGAATAAACTTCAGACCACTTGCTTTTTCTGCTTTTGCATAAGGCTTTAAATAGTGAATATATTTAGTATGTTTAATATTATGATATAAACATTGGTTTAGCAAGTATAATATAAGCCACCAGATGGAGCAGTGTTGCCATCTGAGATGAAAAGAGCAATAGAAAGGGCATGTTTTCTTATTTCTACTTTTGTCTTATAAGTTGCTAGTTTTTTTAAGGCCCTGTCCCAACTTCATGTATGGATCCATATGTTAGACCTTGTAATCAATGACTGCAGCACATAGATGTGTTAACACATTTCTTACTATTTCACAAAAGTTTTTCACTTTATGTTGAAACTAGGAAAAACGAGAATGTTCTTCCTTTTTTTCTTGTTGTAAGGCTTATATTAACCTGAGTTGACAAACTGTATATAAGTTTGCTGATGGTTTTTTTTTCACCCTTTCAGCTTTTTCTTTACCTCAAAATTTTTATCTGTTTCCTATGTCATTACTTTAGGAAAGCTAAAGTAGTTAATTCTCTAGTTGAGTACCTGACACATAATTAAAATACTTAATGCTGCGGTACTTCAGAATTAGAAAAGCGGCAGATGATAAATATGACAAAATATTTTATTTGGGGATTTTTGTTGATGTTGTCCTTAATTCTATATTTCTTTTTTTTCCTCATGTTCTCCTAGGATCTTCTTGCACAAGAGCCTAAAAGCATTTAAAATTTGCAGAATGAGAAGATGGCACAGGCAATGCTGGTACCACCAGGACCTGACAGCTTCTTCTATTTCACCAAAGAATCTCTTGCAGCTATTGAAAAACGCATCGCTGATGAGAAGTCTCATTGTGACAAAAGCGAGCATAAAGACGATGGTGGTCCTGAAGAAGATCGCCCAAAGCCACGTAATGACTTGGAGGCAGGAAAGACACTACCATTTATTTATGGTGATATTCCTCCAGGAATGGTGTCTGAGCCCCTGGAGGACCTGGATCCGTATTATATCAATAAAAAAGTAAGTGTTTTATATTAAGAGTGTAATTAGAATACTCCTGTGGAATTATGAAGTGGTAAATGCTCTGGTGTGAAGGCAGTCAGAAGCCCTCGTTAAAAGTGTTATGCAGCATGTGATACCATATTAATTATTTAAAATACACTATAAATATGACTGTAACTCTTCTGCTTAATTTGATGTTTGGTTTTTTTAAGATTTTTTTTTTTAAGCACTTATTTTTAATGTCTAAGGCTTTGTTGTGATGATATTATGAGTTAGTGGATTGCTTGTATAATTCTACTGAAAATAAATTTTGGCTACTTACATCTGTGTAAGTGCAGCCTCTATTTATGTCAAGGTTGCTAACATATATCCTTAATTTCCTATTTCCTATCCTCTCCCCTTCTCTTTTTTTAAAAGACATTTATAGTATTGAATAATGGGAAGACAATCTTCAGGTTCAGTGCCACGCCTGCCTTGTACCTTTTATCTCCTTTCAATATTATTAGAAGAATAGCTATTAAGATTTTGGTTCATTCATATCCTTTTCAAGTGGTTTGATAAACAACATTACTGGTCTTTTTTAATATTTAACAACACTGCATTTTTTTTTGTTTGGTTTTTAAATGTTCCAGCTCTTAATTCTTTTTCTCAAAATTAATTGGAGCTAAGATTTGTCACTCTGATTAAATTTGGAGGGAGAGATGCACAGCATGTATACCTAGATTACAGAGTTAGTGTTATAGCCATTATCACTGTGAAATATTTTTGCATTATTTATGACATTACTAGTGATAGTAAACTGATTTGTGTCATATATGTTGTAGGTATTGTATAGTCTGGTCAATTCTTCATGTTTTGTGTGATGCAAAATTCAACATTTTAAAAAGGGTATTTTCCTTAACTACAGTCAACATTGTTCAGCATTCTCATTATGCTCACTATTTTGACAAACTGTGTATTCATGACATGGACTAACCTTCCAGAGTGGACAAAGATTGTAGAGTAAGTATACTTAAATTAGCTAATAATTTTTTAAGTCGTTTAAAAATGAAATATAAATTAAGAGTTAGGCAATATAGTTTTACATACCCTATGTGTAATACTTTGTTCTCCTTGTTCTAGCCTGGCATTTGGTCCTGCTACAATTCAAAGCAGCATTGATGCACAAGCTCTAGAAAGGAAGGAAGCTGTGATACTGTTAACCTTTTTCTCTGACTGAATCTCTGATTGATACTCTGGTTCAGAATGTCTGTATGAGTAATGTTTTTGGGTTTTTTTGTCACCCTCTAGAGCTGTTTCCTTAGCATCTTTATATAAAAAACAAAACCAAAACAAACAGCCTTTCAACCTGAAACTACTGCTTTTCAGTATGGAAAGTGCTTTCCATAGCTCCTACAAGGCACCCACTTAAAAGTAAAGACCTCTGCTGAGGTCAGCCATCTCAAGGCTACCTGGTCAGCCATGGTGTAACTTCAGTAAACACTGCATTTCTCTTCCCCATGGATTTTATCTCTGACATGGCAACAATACCGATTTTTTATTTGAGCAAAAGTATTCTCTTCATTAGCATTATTTGTGCCAGAATTTCAAAATCTTATGTGCCAGAAATGGCAAAAAAATGTTTCAGATAAAATAAATCCAGTTATTGTGCAGAAGAATGGTGGGAGAACAGTCATAGTTTATATAACTGCTTTTACAGTCCGTGTATTATTTGCTGGTTTTGAGTTATTTTCCTTCATGTCTCTGATACTGTAACACTGAATGACAGTCTTTAACTTTTGCTTGGATATTCTCTCATAGGTACACTTTCACTGGAATTTATACTTTTGAATTTCTGGTAAAAATCCTTGCAAGAGGCTTCTGTATAAACGATTTCACTTGCCTTCGTGACCCCTGGAACTGGCTTGATTTTGTTGTAATTTCTTTTGCGTAAGTATATATTTTTATTTTTTCTTAAGTAAGATGTCAGAACTTTTGTTGAACCTGTAATAAATTGTTTGGATTGTCTTGGCTTATTTTAAATGAATTGTAGTTGAATTGTGTATCAGAGTTTTTCTATTTTAATATTTTACACTGCTGTAGTATTTGGCTGTGTTAGTGGACTAGCACAAAGTAAAACAGAGAAGTCATGACTGAACAGTCAATTTTAAATAGTATTTAAACAAAATTAGAGAAATTAATTCAGTTACTAATTTACATTCAATGGAAATATTAAGGGTGTGTTTCTTAGGGGAAAACCTAATAGAAACAGGAAAATACAAATCCAAGTCTTTTCATTTAAAGTTGTCCCTTCCAAAAAAAATAGTCTGGACTACAGGTACAGGTAAGTAATGTACACTCTACCTTGTTTCTGAATAACTGTGATTTAATCCTACAGGTATATAACAGAATTTGTAAACCTAGGCAATGTTTCAGCTCTTCGAACTTTCAGAGTATTGAGAGCTTTGAAAACTATTTCTGTAATCCCAGGTAAGAAGTAACTGTGTAAAATGATAGGCAGTCTACATCACCTTTGTTTAATTTTGTGTGTGCTGTCATTGTGTTTGTGTGTGGAATCCCTCACTGCAGATATGTGACAGAGTTTGTGGACCTGGGCAATGTCTCAGCGTTGAGAACATTCAGAGTTCTCCGAGCTTTGAAAACAATATCAGTCATTCCAGGTGAGAGCGAGGTTAAACACTGAGGCTGACTGAAATTCCACAGAAGATAAACTTACATTTTTAGCAGAAGCAATCAGGTTTTAGTGTTAAATTCGATTTTCTTTCCATTTCTAATTTTCGAAAACACTCGGCCTCAGAGTTTAATACATTCTTGCATGAGCAATTGAATGACATAGGCTATGTATATTTCCATTTCATTATGTCAAATTTTCTCTCCCAAATCAAGGATCATAATCAATACTCTTAATTTTTCGTCTGCTAATGTGAATGTTACTATTTAGCACAGACATTTGGGATTGAAAATTTAAGCCTGTTGTACAACCTAAATCCCTAACAAAGAAATAACAAAGACAAATGAATAAGACTCCACCTCCAGTTGAAGAGGATGCAATAGAATGCAATAATTCAAATTTATACTACACTGCATTTGTGTTCTGTTTTTGTTTGCTGTTACAGAACCAATACATTGTGTATTGGAATAGAAAAGTGGCAAAGGTTTGCATCAAGAGGCATTAAGAAGAAAATAAAATGAAACATTTTCTTTACATATTCTTTATGTGTACAGAGAGCATGAAAAGAAGTTGCTTCTTCATTTGAAGAACAGGTGCTTTGGAATGTGTTCCATTCATTCTCATTCATCTTTTCAAATTAATTTGTCAGAAGCTACAAGACTTAGTGATACTTTATTCCTTTGGAAAATACTTTCAGACTGGTTTTGTGAAGCTGTGCATGGTAGTGTGTTGGTGTAGTTCACAATGTATTTTAACTTAGGTATTTATTTAATATTACAGTAAAAATCTGCCTCTCTTTGCAGGTTTGAAGACTATTGTTGGAGCCTTAATTCAGTCTGTAAAGAAGCTCTCAGATGTAATGATTTTGACTGTGTTTTGCCTGAGTGTATTTGCACTAATAGGGCTGCAGCTGTTCATGGGCAATTTGAAGAATAAATGCTTGTTTTGGCCAGCAAATTCATCAAATTTCAAAGAATACCTATCTCCATACTTTAATGGTACAGTGTTTAACTGGACAGCATACCTGGAGAACGAAAGTAAGAAATAGTGTAACTTCTAACATTTTTGTATAACATTTTGTATAACATTTTGTATAACACACATGCTCATAATTATTGTTTGATACTGTAGGGTAAATATAAAAATCATTTAAATGGGGTGGAAAAGAGGAGCAATTTTTATGTATTTCATCCCAAACTCATGTTGACATGGTTGCTCTTTTCATTAACTGCACTTAGAACATATTTATATGGTTAGGCTGGCTTTAGTATTGCAGAATCATGCAGGTTGGACAGGGTCTCCACAGTCATCCAGACCAACTGCTGCTAAGCTATAGGTCCAGTTAGAGCAGAATGCTCCGTGCCCTGTCCAGTTAAGTTTTTAATATATCTAAGGATTGACATGCCACAACCTTTCTGGGCAACCTGCTCAAGTGTTTGACCAGTCTCAGGCTAACTCTTTTTAATATCAGTTCAGAATTTCCTGTGCTCAGGGTTTAGTCAGTTGCCTCTTACGCTTCCAGTGTGCATTTCGAGAAGAGTCAGGCTCTATCTTCATCACAGTCTTTCAGGCGGCACTTGTAGGTACTCCCCACACGTGCACATCAGCCTTCTCAAGGCTGAAAAAAAAACAATTCTCTTCACCTCTCCTTTTATCTTTAGGTTATAAATAAGATAGAGAAGCACTAGATGACTATCAGAGGTTTCCTTGTTAGGATGTACTTTTAGGCTTAGGTGGAGATCAGAAACTTGTTGTCTCTAAATGAAGAACTCACTAGGCAAGCAGGGATTCTGGTGGGGAAAAAGAACTGACAAAGACATCTTTATCCAGGTATTTTTCAGCAGTCTTATCTCTGTAGACTGAAGTGGTAACGTATTAATGCTGGTTCAGAAATACACAGATTTTATTTTTTTTTATTTGTGTCATTTTAAGTGATAGCACTAGTAAAGTTGTAATACACAATTAACAACTTGTAATTGCCAGAAGTTTGAGTAATTCTTATATTTTTGTTTGTTGTAGATTTACAGGGTATTTGCTCAGAAATTAATTTTTATCGTGTATTTAAATTTAAAAAAAATTGGTACAATAATGGATGCTAGAATTCCTCCTTACTGGTCCAAAAGTAAAAGAAAATACAGTTGTTATATGCTTAGTTTTGATTAATCGTATTTCCTTACTTTAATGTACATTTATTGTTAAGTTCCCTGCACTTTGCTATATTTTCAGATTTTCTATACTTCTCAATTGTTAAATTTCTGGAAATTCTGTTACTGTTAATTACATTTCCTGTGCAGTCCATCATTTAGCTAGTTTATTTGCCTAAGAAGGGATGTGAAAATGGAGTAATGATAATTCTATTTATCAGCTTTGTGGGCAGTTTTTTCTTGAAGCTTACATGCTGTAAAAAACTTGTGAATTCTGTCTTCAGATACAGTATATAGATTCTTTCTTTCCATTTCCCACTACATAGCAATCCTAAGCTTAGAGACAGAACTATTATCTTCCAGAATGTCAGTTTCCTCCTATGCTACAACCATTGACTTTTCTGGGGCTCTCTAAAGGGTGCTGATGCAGGCAAGGCCGTTCCATCTAGTTGCCTTTGTATTCCTCCTTTCTCACATAACCTATTTGTAATCATTTGTATGTGTCAGTTGCATTATAATGTCACTGAGATAATTTGTGGGTCCTCCTCATGTTTCTTTCAGCATATCATATGGTGGTCGACTATGACTGAGTTTGATAACCTCTAATGACTTTTCATAACATCTGTGCATTGTCATTTATTAAGGAACAAGGCCAGATTAACTTTTTTTAAAAGATACACACACATCTTGCATGTACATGTCAAAGTTTTGGCACCTGATATTAAGATCAGTATTTGAAGACTTGGAGTTTTGGTCAGCTCTAAAGTTATTGTGGAAGTAATAGGATTATAATTTATCTAACATCAGATGAGTACAGTTCTTGAATGGTAGGATTTCAGCATTGCTAGATGGTGAGCTATTTCTGACTTTTTTAATACTACAATAGTATTTTACCCTGTGAAAACCAGAGCTGTTTGTCAGCTTGGAAGGTACACTGAGAATGACAGAGTATTAGTTTAGTTGGGATAAGAGTTTTTTCCAGGTGTCTTGTCTCATTTCCCGATCTCAGTGCCTGGCTATCCTCATGGTAAAAATTTCTTTGTAACCAGTTGGAACCTCTCTTTTTTTAAAAATTATGCCCACTGTTTGTCATTCTCCTGCCACACACCAATGAGAAGAACCTGGCTCTTTCCCCTTGATAACCTCCTGTAGTTGCTGACAGCTTTCTACCAACCTCCCCCTCTAGCCTTTCTTTCTCTAGGCTGAATAAGATCAGGTGTCTCGGCCCCTCCTGATGAGGTGAATGGTCCGGACCCCTCATCATCTTGGTGACTTCCTGCTGAATTTGCTTCAGTTTATCAATGTCTTTCTTCCACAGGGGAGGCCAAACATGGGCACAACATTCTTGGTACAATTCAATTTGCTCTGAGTGCAGTGGGACAGTCGCTCCCCTGTCTCTGCAGGCTGCCCAGGAGGCTGCTGCCCTTTGGCTGCCAGGGCACACTGCTGGCTCACCCTGCCCTTGCTGCCCATCTGCCAAGGCCCCCAGTGCCTTTTCTGCAGAGCTGCTCTCCAGCCAGTCAGCTCCCAGCCTGTACCATTGCAAGGGGCCCTTCCTTCCCAAGTTCAAAACTCTGCATTTGTCTTTGCCAAGTTTTCTGTCTCCTGTCAGTCTGTTCCAACACCCTGCAGAGGTCTCTCCGAATGGGTTCTGCCCTCACTCATGCCAACTTTTTCCCTAATATGTTATCATTGTGAAGGCTACAATCTTTTCATTAAAAGTTCTGTGAAGTTACTAATAGTAAAATAGCTCTTATAACGTTGCTATTGAAACATCCGTCTTCCTTTTAAGTGCTACCTTCATATTTTGTCACTGGATGTGCTGGTTAATGTTGCTCTAACTTCAGAACTGTTAGCCATCCAGTGTAAATAGTTCAGTTCTAAATAATACAGGCTTTACTTGTTTGATAACAATCTACCTATTGAATAAGAGGATTTTTAAGCTTTGTGCTTGCTTTCGCTCATTGACTAAACATAATTTTGAAAGGATACTTGGTGTTTTCCGTAACTCAAAAGAACATGCAATTTATGTTACTCTACTGATTGTTCTGGGATTTTATTTTTACACTGTGTTTTTATTTTATTCTTTAATTTGATAACTTTACTTAACAGTATCAATGTGCCAGTATTTGAACCCTTTATTGGGAAAACGTGAGTTAGGAGATTATGAACATTCAAACCATGATAACATGAATGTAGGCTCCTTCTGCTTATAATCATGTCACTTCCTATTTTTTCTTTAGGTAATTTCTATCGCCTAGAAGGACACAATGATTATCTGCTTTGTGGCAATAGCTCAGATGCAGGGTAAAGTACATTGAAAATTACCTGTCTAAACAAAATGTAAAAAATGTCACTTTAAATTTAAAGCTAATTTAGCTACCTAACTTCACAATCAATAATATGTGGTCATGGTTCATAGTAAGTAAACACTTGAATGAAAAAAAAATGTTAAATTAGAAAATACTTTGCTGTAAATTTATACTCATTATTACTTATAACTGAAACAGTGTTCCTGTAGTTGAGACCAATATTGAATCACCTACTATCAAAACTGATATTACAGCTTCAGGAGATAAAAGTATCAGTATTATGGTTATTTGCTGTTGAGGAATTGGTATCTTTACTTTAAAAATAAAGTAAAAATATCTTACTTTAAAAAGGTATTTTTATTCGACTTAACTCATTCACAAACCTGAAGAAACAAATGTGGTATGCCAGCCCTGCTGACAGACAAAATTCAGCATTATATGTATTTAGTGACTTTTTTGTGTGAAAGTAATAATCTCATTGAATCTCTGTCGCAAGTACATATATTATTTCATTTAAGAGGTAGAGGTAATAATACCAAACTGTTGGGAATAATTCTTTTTTGGAGTATAATGGTGAAAGAAAGTAGGAAGAAAGATTTTCATTTACTTGTTTGCTCTTTTCTGGCTTCTTTTGAAGAATGCTCTTTTAATTTACTCAGTATTTTTAAAAATTTTGTAAGCCATGAGTAGTAACTCCCTTCACAGATTAGATCTCAGGAGCCTTCATTCAAAGCTCAAAATACAATAATTTCTTTCCCTTTTTTGTTTTTCCTCCTAGTAAATGTCCAGAAGATTTTGTGTGTGTGAAAGCTGGTAGAAACCCCAACTATGGATATACTAGTTTTGACACATTCAGTTGGGCTTTCTTGTCACTGTTTCGATTGATGACACAAGACTCCTGGGAAAATCTTTATCAGCTGGTGAGTGTATAGTAAAAATTGTGGTTAATGTCATACTGGCCCCAAATCAAACAAGGAAAGGCCATTTATAGTTATATCACATACCATTATTATGGTTGGTAATTCTAAATTAACAGTATTTATGAAAGGAAGCAAATTCAGTTGCAGAATTAAGCAGACACAGGCACTTAATGCAGCATCTCACATGATTTCTGAAGAGGCACATGAACATTTTTTGATATTTCGTTTTTACAGTGTATATTTCATTTTGTGCTTCATGGTAACTTCTTATTTTCAAACTTTAATACTGAGTTTAAATTGTAACAATACGCTGTCACAGCAAAATCTGAATCTAAATTTCTGTATTTTGAGTCCTATTTTTTATAACTAAGAATGCATTTCTTGATAGAAATTACCTCTCTTACCATAGTTTTTGATAATATGGTGTGTGAAAATCCATTAATGGTAATAAATAATATTATTTAATTATTTAATCAATTATGCCATCAGCAATTCTTTTGTTTATTTCAAGGGGGAGGTGTGCCAACACAAGGTTATTATACTAAGTATCCAATGTACTTTTCAAGATTATTAAGCATTAAAGGAGATTTGTCCTTATGTAGCATGAGCCATAAATATGTTTTTCATATACAAGAATGCTTCCTTACTTTGCTTACTTTGTAATTCAGCAGGCTTGTATGATCTTATTACAGAGAGAGTTAAAACTCAGTAATACTTGTTCACTTCTTGAACTCCGTAAATGGTCATGAACTGCAGAACTCGTGTGTCTTCACCAAATGGATAATTTCTCTTCTTCTTCTATAGACGCTACGAGCTGCTGGCAAAACATACATGATATTTTTTGTTCTGGTCATTTTTCTGGGTTCCTTCTATTTGATTAACTTGATTTTGGCTGTGGTTGCCATGGCCTATGAAGAACAAAATCAAGCAACTATAGTTGAAGCAGAACAGAGGGAAGCAGACTTGCAGCAAATGATTGAACAGCTGAGGAAGCACCGAGAAGAAGTTGAGGTATTTTCTATCAAGCGTTTGAGCTTTGGTAAATGCTTTTGCATGCTATTAGTTCAAAACAAAACCAGTAATTAAATTACATATTAAAAAAACACCTTTTACGTATCTCACAAGTACTTTAGATTGCTTTCTCTGTGGCTTTTTATTGCTTTCTAAATGTGTAATGTCTAAAGCATTCATTACTTTCTTAACTGAGAATAAAAAGTGCGTCTTAAATCAGAATAATAGTTTTTAAATAAATACTGCTTATTTACGAGTAGTATCCTGTAACCTGTCATGATTTTCCAAATTCTCAGCTTAGAAATAATTGTGAAATATTTGTCAAGCCTTGATTAGAGTTTAAAATAATTTTATCTGTAATTATCTGAGTAATTTTTGCTACTTGTGTTATAATCAGTGAGTCAAAGACTGAAAGTAGTACCCCAGTTTTCTCCTAGAAGCAGCTTAAGGAAGCTGTTGCTTACAGTAACAGTAAAAATTAGTTTACTAAATTAATGTAGATTGAAGTATGACTGCGTTTCGCTCTTTTGTTTGCAATTGTGTTCACTCTAATTCATAAACCTATTACTTTTAAAGGATTTTCTAATGAACTTTGTGGCAGAATGCTGTACATAATGCAGGCTGACTCCATGATGTAGATGCAAAGTAGGACTCTGTTAGAATGTCAGCTTTCATAGCTGTCTGCTTATTTAGAATTCCATTTGAAGTTTTGCACAAATCCATCTAGACTTTTGTCACACACCTAGAAGTAATTTGAGTAAATCTTAGGAACAAGATCTTTAGCATTCTTTAAAACATGGTGTGATTTGTAAAGCATCACATTAAGTAATTGCTGTGGCAGACAATAGCAGCAGCTGCAGAAGAGATGACCGAGTACAGCGGTGAAAGTGGGATTGTTGGACCTTCAGACAGTTCTTCAGAAGCATCCAAAGTTAGCTCAAAAAGTGCTAAAGAAAGGAGAAATAGAAGGAGGAAAAGACGGCAGAGGGAGCTTTCTGGTGAAGAGGATGACATGAAGGATGAGAAGCTTCCAAAGTCTGAATCAGATGGCAGTATCAGAAGGAAAGGTTTCCGGTTTTCTTTTGATGGGAACAAACTTGCTTATCGGAAGCAGTTCATATCACCCCACCAGGTACTCTGAATAGTGCAGTTGTAATTGTGGGTGTTTTTGAGATAACTGTAATATCGTGCAAAATTCCCTGGAGCTTTACAAAGTGTTACAATCAAGGAAAAATAATGCTGCAGTATTTTAAATACTGACTTACTGTTGGTATTATTTTCAAGAGTGTACCTAAACAATTTTTGGTCTCTTTCATTGTTTAGGATCCAGTGCATCTTCGCATGCACAGCATCCTTGCATTTTCATAGTTAATTTGCAATAGAAATCCCTTTTTAATTCACAAAAAGAAAATTTAATGTATCAGTGTAGAAGACTAAGGGTATTGATATCTTTAACATAACACATGATCTGTGGCCATCATTAGAATTTCTAGAAGTCCTGTTTTTCCTCTAATACAGAGATGGAAACAACTATGGCTTTATGCATGTTCATTTTTTTCTCTTCAAGAATTCCTCTAGGTATACTGTAAATTTACCCGTTCAGGTAATTCTTATCTCTAGTGCATGTGTCTGAAATTTAACTAAGGCACTGTATTAAAAATAGCACTGACAGATACCCAGAGAACATTTGTTTGTTTATTAATACATAGACATGCATATTGTATGTTTAAAATCTTCAGGTGGTCATTTTGTTTGTTTCCTTTGCAGTCTTTGTTGAGTGTTCGCGGCTCCCTGTTTTCTCCCAGACGTAGTAGCAGAACAAGTCTTTTCAGTTTTAGAGAACACGAAAAAGAGATAGGATCAGAAAATGACTTCGCTGATGACGAGCACAGCACGTTTGAGGATAATGGGAGCAGAAGAGGTTCTCTTTTTTTGCCACGCAGACATGGTGAACGGCGCAGTAGTAACATTAGTCAGAGCAGTAGATCATCAAGAAGGCTGCCAGTGTTTCCAGTGAATGGGAAGATGCACAGCACTGTGAATTGCAATGGAGTGGTTTCCTTAGTAGACAGACCACCAGATCAGTTGTCACCTACTGGACAGCTTCTGCCAGAGGTGATAATAGATAAACCAACAACTGATGACAATGTAAGTTTTAAATTACTCAAGGTTTTATGGCCTTTCTGTATTGCACCAGACAATGTTATAATGGAATTAAATGCTTTTAAAATGGTTGAGGAGTCATGAATGCTTTTGCATATTTTACTGTAATGAAATGAGTTCACAGTGATTCAGTCAAAAGTTAGAGGTTGAAGCATGAAAATGACAGAAAACAAAGTAGCATGTTTTTATATACCTGCAGAACAGCTCTGCGTGCGCCTGTGTAGTGAGTCAAATTAATGATGTTCCATTGCTAACTCTGGTTTAGAACCCAAAATAGGACGCTCCCCTTTCTAAACATTCTGCACATTATTATGTTGGTTTTGATATTTTCTTTCTTTCTGGTTTTAGCCTCCCTTTAAATGTATTTCCTAATTCTCTATCAGTAATCTGCTCGTTCTACTTTTTTTGCCCTGTCCATACCTTGGTATTATGCATATGTAGCATAGCCTTAAAGATAATATTGAAATTTTGGAAGCTCTGAAAGCTTTTTTTCTCCTTAGTCTCAGAGATTATTTGAATTTCTCATTAAGATCAGGGCATAATAAAAAGAACCCCATGAAGTGCATGCAGATTCATCCATTTCTCCCTGTGGTGAGTTTTCCCTTTTCCCTTGGTCTGGTGTAGGAATGGAGGAGAGGGATCTGTTGTATGTTTTTTTCTAGAGACCTTCTTTTATTGAATCAAAAAATGTTTAAACAGGTCGCAGTACCTGAAGGTACATCAGCCAGATTCCTTACAGTTAGTCTTCTTGCATTTTATTATACTTTCATTTTCATGTATTTCTTTACCAAGAAGCAACCTACCCATTTTCCTGCATTCAAAACTTTTTTTTGTATTTGAGGTGTGTTTGATGATGTAACACAGCTTTGATTTTTATTTTTTTTAATAAAAGACTTAAAAATAATTCTTTTTTGGAGTCGATTAAGTTGGACTTATTTTGTTTTTTCAGTTTAAATTAATAAAATAGATCAGAGATGATAGCTGTTCAATGTAAAAGGAATTGTTTAAGTTAGTTTTGAGTGAATATGAGATCCAGACTGATCTATAAACATTGCTTTCAGATAATAATTGCTATTGCAGAAAACTTTCTAGCATAAATTGCTTAATATAACTATCTTGTGATTTAGCTAGTTGAGAAGGGAAATGTTGGTACAGAAGGCATAGAACTGGGACTTTTTCTGAGTCCAGTGCTGCAACAGGCCTGCTTGTTTCCTTGGCTATGCCCTCCTCCAAAATTTCTGTATGTCTAATACAGGTTTAATAGTAGTTAATTATAATTCACTGGTAATCTAGAAATTAAATACCCATCTTGGTTTTTTTACTAACAGTACCCAGAAGTATAACATGGAAATAGCAAAAAAAGTAAATTATGTTTATGTTATATGTATAATCAGGAAAAGAATCTGATGTAACAGCACTTAAATACAAAGCTTTATATATTATGAAGTCACTGAACCCGAAGAGTCTTTCTGATATCTGTTTTGCAGTATTTTTGAAGTTGAATGTAATTTGTGCTCCTCTCTCTTCTCATAGAGCACTGCTACAGAAATAGAAATAAAAAAGAGGCGTTCAAGTTCATATCAGATAGCTGTGGAGTTGCTGGAGGATCCCGATTTAAGGCAAAGAGCCATGAGTATAGCTGGCATTATCTCAAATACAGTGGAAGGTGTGTTCTAACTGCAGATGTGTGAACTTAATTGACACAGTGTTAGACGTGCTTAAATGTGTTGTATCACAGTGCAAATACAGAGGGCAAAAAATATGTAGCCATTGCAAATACATAAACTGAAAAATAGAACAACACTGCATGTACCGAATGCTAAAAGAAATTAGGGAATCTGATAAGCAGGCTAAACTACAAAACATTAAAAATAGAATAGATAACATGTATGAATTATACTAGTTATTAATGTTTCACAATACAGTCATTGGAATAAAGGACTTGTGATAGATTTTCCACTAACTATACTGTGAAAATGTTATAGAAAATTAAAAGTCAGGCTTTAGTTAAGAAGGATATTGTAGGATTATCTGGTACAGTTAAATTGTTACTACTGAATGTGTTGAAAAAGCTTGGATAGTTCTCAAAACATTCCTGGTGAAGTCAATCTTACTTTTCCCAAAAGTAAATAATTAGACAATTGAGAGGACTCTGAAGATGGAAGTCTTACTGAGAAAACTATCCCTAAATATAAGTATAGTTTTCTTTTTAAAAAAAGATCACATGATATTAAAAATAGTGTTTTTAATTATTAGCTCAAAACTCTTGAGTCTTATCTTCCAGTCTTCTAAAACCTTTTCAATCAGCAATTTGGAGGAAGTTCCTCTGAATGTCCTTAATGGTTCCAAGTGTAAAGGTTAAAACCCAAAAAAGCAGATGAACAAAAATTGGTCTTCATATTCTCCAAAACTTACTTTTCACTTCTGTTTTTTTTCCCAGAACTTGAAGAATCCAGGCAAAAATGTCCACCCTGCTGGTATAAGTTTGCCCACACTTTCTTAATTTGGGATTGCTGGGAGCCTTGGTTGAAAGTAAAGGCTGTAGTTGAATTTATTGTAATGGATCCGTTTGTTGATCTGGCTGTAACTGTTTGCATAATTTTAAACACTCTGTTTATGGCCATGGAACATTATCCAATGACTGACGATTTCAGTACTGCCCTTAAAATAGGAAATCAGGTAAGTCCATCAAGATGTATAATTTCATACATTTGGAACCTGCTTTATCTTTGAAATATAATTCCTTTTATAATTTTTATATAAATTATTTTTATATATTTATATTATAAATTTTATTATTAAAAAGTGAAGGTTTAATTGTAATAAAAATTGTCTAAAAATACAATTTGAGATAGGTTGTATTTGAGTTTTACTTCTACATTAAAATTTTTGCAAATAGATTTTTCAAAAAACAGTGTTTGAAAGACAAAACCAAAATAAATCAGAGTTGTTTTAGTTTACTATTACAAAAAAAGTAGGAGCCAAATTAGATTTTTTTGTCTTGTATCATTGATAACACAAGAAGGGTTGGGTATTATTTTGGACTATTATTTTGCACTGGTTTGTTGTGAGGTTTTCTGTTATTTTTATATTTTCATCAAGAATGTTACTTTAGTTCATTCATAACAATTTAGAAGGCAAAGAATGTATGATTTATTCCAAGAATGTCTGTTGATACAGTTGGGCTTTGTTCCCTAGTGGACACAGAATGTAGGTCAGGTGGGGTGGTTAGTTGGTATGTGTTACAATGGGAATAATACAGATAATACTACCTGCTATACTTCTTAACCTATGCTTATTGTAAGTGGTAATTCTGGTGATAGTGATGTAGCAAAATAATAAAGCAATTTGGTTATTAGAATATATGAAATTCTAGTACATCCTGGGAACACATTAAAGTTTAAGTCTAGATATATGAATGTGTCAACATTTAAATCATATGCTGATATTTTTAGCCAACACAGACATAGCTGTATGTTTTTACCTAGCCAAGAGTCAGAGATGATTATCTGTTGAAGATAATGTCATGTTGGTGTTTAAATTAGATTCAGGATGTATTTAAGGAGAAAGACAGAGAAGACTAATAGGTGAGAATCAATAGCTGTTGCAGAGGGTTGTCATGTGATCATGTCTGTGTGTTTTACCCATGAAGCACAATTTTTTCAGTTCCTATACAATGAAGTAGGTTTATATTAATCTAATTTAGAGCTGTGTTGAGTGTAAGTGTTCCTTCCTG